AGCCACCAGTCTGTGGTAGTTTGTTATGGCAATCCTAATAAAATACTACAGTATTGTTAAAAATAATCTAGAATTTTAATGCCTAACAATAAATTCAAGGGTAAATTTTTTTTAATACTTTTAAAATGTTTTTATTTTCTACTATTAGATATACATTATTTTCCAGAGTAGGACTGAGAGCACATTTTTTTATTTTTAGTTGCTATATTCTTTTGAGTTGAGGAAATTGTTAGTTTGTGCAATTTAAAGGAAATGCATTTTATTTTTGAAGTGGGTCTCTTTTTTTAAAAAATTCAATAATTAACATAATGTATTATTAGTTTCAGCGGTAGAGGTCAGTGATTCATCAGTCTTAAATAATACTCAGTGCTTGTTACATCACGTGCCCTCCTAATGTCCATCACCCAGTTACCCCATTCCCCTTCCCCTCCAGCAACCCTCAGTTTGTTACTTACACTTAAGAGTCTCTTATGGTTGGGGTGCCTGGGTGGCTCAGTCATTAAGCATCTGCCTTCGGCTCAAGTCATGAACCCAGGACCCTGGGATGGAGCCCTGCATCAGGCTCCTTGCTCAGTGGGAAGCCTGCTTCTCCCTCTCCCACTCCCCCTGCTTGTGTTCCTGCTCTTATCTCTCTCTCTGTCAAATAAATAAACAAAATCCTTAAAAAAAAAAAAGAGTCTCTTATGGTTTGTCTCTCTGATTTCATCTTGTTTTTTTCCCTCCAAGGGTAAAAATTCTTATTCAAATTAAGATAAAGAATAAATAATGCTATATTATAGAAACTAATTTATATTACTATTAGTTTTATAAAATTGCTCCATGTTGATGGTGTTTTATCCAAAGATTACAATTTCCAAATTTGCCTATCCAAATAGAAAATCCCCCCCCCCAAAATTAGCCTAGATGATCCATGGGTATTGCTTTTTATTTAGTGATTCATATTTCCCTAGGTTTTATATCCATATGGATATATAACATTTAAATATTGAGATGAAACAAAACTACCTTAATTTTAATTCTTTCTATAGTGGTAACTACAATCTTTTCCTTGTGCCTAAGTTTATATCCCTTACTTGCTTGAACAACTTATGTTGGAGGCGGGGGGATTGTTGGTGGGTATGCTTTAAGATCTAACATCCACACTATTTTCTGGCTCTAAGCCTTTAGCTGAATTTTAAAATCTCTCTTTGCCGTAGTTCCTTCAACTGTAAAACAGGGTTATTAATAGTAGCCACTTCCTAGGGATGTGATGATTAATTTGACATAGGGAAAGAAAATAAGAGTATCCAATAGCACATGTGTTATAGGAGGTATTGTTGTTATAATCATTCATCCATCTTATAAATTCATTAAATAGTTGATTTTTACAATGTGCCAGACATAAAAGTAAACACTCTAAACCTATATGTTCTCCTTATCTTATAGATACATATATGAATCATATATGTGATTAAAAAAATACTTTATATGTATCTTTTTATATTGTTTATTTTAAAAAAACATTATTCTTTGTATCTTTGAGAGCCACTCTCCTTCCCTTACATTCATAGGCAACTATTCTGTGTTTAATATTCACTTATCTCATTATTCTTTAAAAATATTTTTGTTCAGTGTACATATATTTTTCTAATTATGCAATGATATTATCATGCCATATATTGAACTAAGTTTCTTATTGACTAACTCAACATTTATTTTTTGTGACCCATGTAGTTTGCTATATATGTGTCTAACCTATTGCTTTCAACTCCTCTAAAGTGCTTCTACATACCTATGACCCAACTTGTGGACATCCAAATTACCCTCAATATCTTTCTACCACAAATCATACTAAGGTGAGCATTGTTAGATGTTATTTTTGTACCTGTGCAAGAATGCCTTGGGATAGATCAACAAGCAGAATTGCTGAGCCATAGGAAATGCCTGTACTCCATTTAACTAAATTATCAGATTACTTTCCTGAATACTTGTGTCCATTTCAGTAGCTTAAAAAATAAGGTTTTTAACTTCCTACAATCATGGCCACACTTGACATTTTTTATGTTCTAAATTTTTGTCTATCTAATAATAGTGAAGTTCTGTCTCATTCTTGATTTGCATTGTCCTGATTATTGGTGAATTTGAACATGTTTTCAAATGCTCATTGGCCTTTTGGATTTTCTATTGTAATGTTTTTATTCATGTCTTTTTTATTCTTTCTTATTATTTAGTTTGCTGGGCTGCCGTAACAAAGTATCAGAGAGTGGGTGGTTTAAACCAAAAAAATTAAGTTTCTCACAATTCTGGTGGCTCCAATTCTTTGATCAAATAGTTGTCAGGTTCGGTTCCTTCTGAGGCCTCCTCCTTCATTGGCTTGTAGATAGCTGTCTTCTCTTTGTACCTTCACATGGTCTTTCCTCTGCATATGTTGTGTCCTAATTTCTTCTTATATGGATACCTGTCATAATCACCTCTTTAAAGGATCTATCTCCAAATAGAGTCACACTCTGAGATACTGGGTGTTAGGACTTAAACATATGAATATGGGGGGGCACAACTCATCCCATAATATAAGTGATGGAAAATTTACCAAAAATATTTGAGTCTTGAATGACCTACAGATATAAAATACTGTTCTCTAAGTATAGGATTACTAACTACACCTTCTACTTATGTCATTAATTTCTTCATATAGCTTCACTTATCACTAAATTATAAATCAGGTGAGAGAAATGGTATAATATTGTTTTAATATTGATTGACAACTTCTACAAATATACTTTTAAATGATTATCTTCCAATTTTGGCCTTTTAGTACTTAAGAAATAACTGCTTATTACATTTTAATTCAAGTCTAAAAGATAATTAAGATGAAAGCATATGTTTTATATTTTCATTTAATGTTAGAAATTAAGATATAACAGATCACATTAAATATCAAACTACTTTTCTATGGGCACCTGGGTGGCTCAGATGGTTAAGCTTCTGCCTTCGGCTCAGGTCATGATCCCAGGGTCCTGTGATTGAGTTCCGCATCAGGCTCCCTGCTCCTTGGGAGCCTGCTTCTCCCTCTGCTTCTCTCTCTCTCTCCCTCCCTCTCTCTCCCTCTGTCTCTCATGAATAAATAAATAAAATCTTAAAACAAACAAACAAACTACTTTTCTAGATAGCACAATCAAATAAATAAGCCAAACTTGTCTGTGATTTTTGTACAGTAAGGAAAAAATCTGCTAAATACACAGAAAACCAAAATTCCTGCCTTATAATAAGGTCTTGGTAATGCAGGAATTATTTCAAAATATGACTAATATTCTATGCTTGAAGTACATAAAATTACTTTAAAAAATTCATGAGTCTACCATGTAACTTCTAGCTACAAAATTAAAAAGTCTCTTTGTGTTCATTCTGGATTTTCTTTGTTAGAGTAACTGTACAATATAGAGAAAATGTTTCCTTAGACCAGAAAAATTCCCTTGTGTTACTTAGAATAACCCTACCCATATTTCTAAGTACACAGAAGTGTGGTATAGTAAATACCTTTGCCATCTGGTAGAACTAGGGCCAGTGTATGTTTGTCTGCAAATATTTATACGGATACATTTGTGGGAAAAACTAATGTAACATCCTTACTTAAACATTTTCTAGATGCCACTAATTATGATTAACACCTGTCTCATTTAATTTAATCCTTTTAACAATTCTATAAGGTAGATATTATCCCTGATTTAAAGTTAGTAATCTAAGCCATAGAGAGGTAAAGCTACTTATCAGGGGAAAAATGCTTTTTATTACTTTCTTTTTTCCCTAGGGATTAAAACTCAAAGTAGCACTAATCCAAACCCAAGAACTAGTCACATCTATACCATTTAAGTGGCAGAGGTTGTCACTCATCACATTATAAGAAAAAAGCTATACAAACTGAAAGTCAATTTTTTTTAGTACTCATCATGGAACAGAGTTTGGAAGGCAAACTGCCATTCTGAAATCTGGAGAGGTAGGTGTTTTCTGAGTTCTGCTTACCTGGAACAGAAGCCACAGGAGCTATAAACTGGAAGGAGCATAAATGCTAATTTTGATGCTTTTCTGGAGCTGAGTATGGACTAGTATGAGTGACAAACTTCTGGGGGACTCTACATTTTAATCAGCTTTACCTCCAGGAATCCCACCAAGTTCTAAAAGTGGGAATCTAAAAAGGATTCCTTGTTTGTCTTGCAAGGGTGTAGGGGACACAACTCTCTTCAATCAACAACATATAGAAATCCCCAAAGCACAGAAGGGAGACAAAAATAAGGGATCTGAGGAATGTAAAGTCTCTGGTACCTACAACAGATATTAAATACAGCCAAATGATCAAATATAAATTCTCACATTAAAGACCTATTTACCTCAAGTTCTATTCCTTAATACAATATGTTTGGTTTTCCTAAAGGCAAGAAAAAACCTGAAGAGACAAGCAGTCATCAGAACTAGTCTAGGATATAACACAGGTGTAAATTAGACAGGAAATTTAAAATAGCTATAAATAGCATGCAAGAACAGATAGAGATTCTTAGAGTTTATGTAACCTAAGAAAAGTAAATGCTAGAAATGAAAAAAGACAAATGACTTTGATGGTCTTATAAATATACTTGACATGCCTGAGGAAATAATAAGTGGACCTGAGCATAGAGCAATAGAAACTTTCCAAATTGAAATACCTAAAGAAAAAAGAGAATGAAAGAGTATCCTAGAACTATAGGAGAATATTAAAAGGTATAACACATCAGAATGAAAAATTAGAAGAAATATTTGAAATTAAAACAGCTGAGAACTTTGCAAAACAAATGACAAGCATCAAACCACAGAGCAAAGGAGCTAAAAGAATGTCAACATCATAAATACAAGCAAAACAATAAACATCCATATCTAGGCAAATCATACTGGCAATGTAGAAATCCAAAGAGAAATAAAATCCTGAAGGAAAAGGCCAGGGTGAGGGAAAACACAACCAACAAAGAAACAAGTTTAAGAATTACAGAGTAGTGTTTGCTTCAACAGCACATATACTAAAATTTGAATGATACAGAGATTAGCATGGCCCCTGCACAAGGATGATGTGCAAATTATTAAAATGTTTCATATCTTTTCATCAATAGATTAAAAAAGAAATCTCTGGCTTTGAAAATCAAAGGGATTTAAGTCCAGCTGATTTTTAAAGCTCCTGGAGTTAAAGAACCAGCACACAAAAAACTTGCTCTGAGAAAGTACAGAAGCAGCAGTCTGAAAAACGCTAGGAATCCATGTGAAGGAGATCTACTGATTAATTTTAGCACATGTGCCAGGGGTGCAAATATCTGCAGAATTTTTTTCTGGGAACAAAAGCAATGGTAGCTACCATTATTTGTGCCCTCCCCCATACTAAATAGCTAGAAGCTTGCAGGTTTCAATTCTAATTTTCTATCTTGCTAACACCCCATGTCATGCCCTCGCATTCCCCTTTGGTTCCACCCTACCCATTTTGGCAGACATCCCTCCAAGGGACTCCCATCCCAATATACTCTGTAGGTAGCCAAGGTTAGGACTGGAAACATTGCAAAGAGACTGCTGCAATTCCTGTAGCTGGGCCTCATAGCTGGCTGTTTACAGAACAAGCCCTGCCCTACAGTGTTCCTGGAGCTGTCATAGTGGCTCATTGAGGACAGCCAAGCTGAAGGCTAGCCCTGCCCACCAGTGAGCCCACAACAGCTATAATCAAGTCTTTCAACAGCCCAGGGAGCAAATCCTGCCCCCTCAGCTGGCAAAGTGGGTCATTGCAGCTTTCTGAGCTGAAGGGTAACCCACCCATGTGCTCACAGACATCATAGCTCAGCCATAAAAAAGACAGCATGTAGGCCACAGAGAGGATACCCCTGGAGCACCTGGTTCTGCTGACAAGGGGGGTTATGCTACAGGACTTCACAAGATCTCTTCTAGAGAAGACTACTTTACTGACTAAAGACCAGAACACATAGCTGACTTAATACATAGAAACAGACAAAATGAGGTGACAGAGGAATATAATCACAGAAAAAACGTTAAATAAAAAGGAGATAAGCATTATGCCCGATAAAGAGTTCAATGTAATGGTCAAAAAGATATTTAATGGACTGGACAGTGAATGCACTCAGTGAAAACTTAGAAACTATAACAAAGAGAGTTGAAGGAGACAATAAGTAAAAGGAAAAATAAAGACTAGAGGTATTCAACAGCAGATTAGAGGATGCAGAAGAATGGATCAATGATCAAAAAACAATACGTTGAAGGACCTCTGCAATATCAATTCTAACATTTGCATTATAGGAATCTCAGAGAAGAGGGAGAAAAGAGGGCAGAAATCTTATTTGAAGAAATAGCAGCTAAAAACCTTCCTAATCTGGGGGGAGAAATATACTCAGGCCCAGGCATTACAGATAACCTCAAACAAAATATACATAATGGTTAACTTTGCAGGCCAGAAGAGAGTTGCATCATATATAAAAAATGCTGAAAGGAAAAAAACAAAAAGCTACAACCAAGACTAATCTACCTGGCAAAGATTATCATTCACAATTGAAGAAGAGGTAGTTTCTCAGACAAAAGTTAAAGAAGTTCATCACCACTAAACCAGCTTTACAACAAATGTTAAAAAAAGGCCTCTTTAAGGGACAACTGGGTGGCTCAGTTGTTAAGCATCTGCCTTCAGCTCAGGTCATGATCCCAGGGTCCTGGGATTGGGCCCTGCATTGGGCTCCTTGCTTCTCCCTCTCATACTCCCCCTGCTTGTGTTCCCTCTCTCACTGTATCTCTCTGTCTAATAAATAAATAAAATTTTTGAATAAAAGGCCATAACTAGAAGAAAATTGTGAAAAGAAAAAATTCCACTGATAAAAGCAAACATATAGTTAAAGTAGTAGATTTAAAACTTATAGAGCCACTATGTAGGTTGACACAAAAGTAGTAAAATCAATTAAAACTATAAACAGTCAAGGGATATATAAAATAAAAAGATATAAAATATGAATGTGTTTGAACCTTAGTGACTATAACTTAAAATAGACTGCTATAGGCAGTCGTAAAATAGACTGCTATAGGGGGTTAAAAAATGAACCCCATGGTAACCACAAATTAAAAAATCTATAATAGATACATGAAAAACCAAGTAATTCAAGAATATAATGGATTATTACTCAGCCACTAAAAAATGAAATTGTTCTATTTGCAACAATATGGATGGAGCTAGAGAATATTATGCTAAGAAAAATAAGTCAGAGAAAGACAACTACCATATGATTTCACTCCTATGTGGGAATTTAAGAAATAAAGCAAATGAACAAAGGAGGGGAAAAAAGAGAGAGGAGGGCAATCCAAGGAACAGAGTGTTATTTATAGAGAACAAACCCATGGTTACCAGAGGGGAGGTGAGTGATGAGGATTAAGAGGAAGTGCACTTGTGATGAGAACTGGGTGTTGTATGTAAGTGATGAGTTACTAAATTCTACACCTGAAACTAGTTTTACACTGTATGCTAACTGGAATTGAAATAAAAACAAAACAAAAAAATAGCAAAATGGGAAAACGTACATAACTATCAATAATTATTTTAAATGTAAATGGACTAAATGTTCCAAATAAAAGACATACAGTGACTACACAAAAAAAAATAAGATGATCTGTATACTGATTCCAAGAACTCACTTCAGACCTAAAGCTAAAGTGAAGAATGGAAAAGACTGAACAGACTATCATTTTGTAAAGGGCATTATATAAAGACAAAGGGGCTAACCGAAAAGATGATATAAATATTGTAACTATGCACCCAATTTAGAAGCATCCAAATGCATAAGGCAAATATTAACAGACATAAAGGGAGAAATTGACAGTAATATAATAATGGTAGGGACATTAACACCACACTTAGATCAATGGATATATCATACAGATAGAATGACACATTAGACCACATAGCTTAACAGATATGTGCAGAACATTACATCCAAAATCAGAATACACATTATTTTAAGTGCATATGGAACATTATCCAGTATAGATCATATGTTAGGCCACACACAAGCCTGAACAAATTTAAAAAGATCAAAATCTTATCAAGCATCTTTTTTTACAATATTATGTAGCCAAAAATTATTTACAAGAAAAAAAAAACCTGGATATAAACACAAACGTGGAGGCTAAACAACATGATACTAAATAGCCAATAGGTCAATGAAGAAATCAGAAAGAAAGAAAAAATATTTGGGGACAAAAAGAAAATGGAAACACAATGGTCTAAAATCTTTGGCATGCATCAAAAGCAGTTCTAAGAGAAAAATTTATAGCGATATAGACATACCTTAGGAAAAGAGAGAAATCTCAAAAAATCTAACCTTACACCTAAAGGAACTATGAAAAAAAAGAACTAAGCCCAAAGTTAGTAGAAGGAAGAAATTAATAAATATCTGAATGGAAATATAGAATAAAAAACAATAAAATACATTTAAACCAAGAGCTGCTTCTATGAAAGGATAAAATTGATAAACCTTTGGCTAGACTAATTAATAAAAAAACACAAGGGGGCAACCATAAGAGATACTGAACTTTAGGAAACAAACTGAGGGTTGCTGAGCAGGAGGTGGGTGGGGGCAGGGATAATTGGGGGATGGACATCAAGGAGGGCACTTGATGTAATGAGCATTGGGTGTTATGTGCAACTGATGAATCACTAAATTCTACCTCTGAAATAAAAAAAGAGAGAGGTCAAATGAATAAAAATGAAAGAAGAGAAATAACACCACCATGGATAGACATGAGAATATAATGAAAATTTTAGGCCAATAAATATCTAGATACAATCTTTTAAACCTGAAATAGAAAAATCTGAACAGATCCATTAATAGGAAGGAAAATGAAACACTAATCATAAAACTTTCAATAACAAAAGTCCAGGACCAGGTGGGTTTATAGGTGAATTCTACCAAAAACTTAGAGTTAATAACTCTTCTTTTCAAGCTATTTAAAAAATTGAAGGGGAAAGAAAACTTCAAAACTCACTTCACAAAGCCAAAATTACCCTATCTACAATCAGACATTGACACTATAAAAACGAAAACTGCAGGCCAATATCCATGATAAACATAGAGGCAAAAATTCTAAATAAAATATTAGTAAGCCAGGCACCTGGGTGGCTCAGTCACAAAGCGTCTGCCTTTGGCTCAGGTCATGATCCCAGGGTCCTGGGATCAAGTCCCGCATCGGGCTCCCTGCTCAGCGGGAAGCCTGCTTCTCCCTCTCCCACTCCCCCTGCTTGTGTTCCCTCTCTTGCTGTCTCTCTCTCTGTTAAAAAATAAATAAAATCTTTAAAAAAATAAAATAAAATAAGTAAAATATTAGCAAGCCAACTTCAACAATATACTCAAAGGATTATTCCCCACAAACAAGTGGGGTTTACTCTGGGGATGCAAGAATGATTCAATTTTCACATACTAATCATTGTGATCAAATACATTAAAGAGGAAGGATAAAAACTATAGGATCATCTCAATGGATGCAGAAAAAGCATTGGACAAAAATACAATGTCCATTCATGATAAAAATTTTCAATAAAGTGGCTTAAGATGGAATATACCCCAACATAATAAAAGACACAGGGTAAAAGTCCACAGCTAACCTCTTACTCAATGGTGGAGCACCAAAAGCTTTTTCTCTAAGATCAGGAACAAGATAAGAATGTCCACTTTCGCCACTTTAACTCAAAATAGTAATTGGAGTCCTAGACACATAAATCAGACAAGGAAAATAAAGGCATCAAAACTGGTAAGGAAGAGGTAAAATTGTCACTATTTGCAGATGACACAATACTACATATAGAAAATCCTAGACACCACCACAAAACTATTAGAAGTTATAAATGAATTCAGTAAAGTTGCAAGATACAAAATTAATATACAAAAATCTGTTTCTATATACTAATAACAAAGTAGTACGAAAAGAAATTAAGCAAATAATCCAAATTACAATTGTACCGAAAAGAATGAAACCTAGGAATAAATTTAACCAAGGAGGTTAAAAACACATTCTGGAAACTAAAAGACATTGATGAAAAAAACCTGAAGATGACACAAATGGAAAGATATC